AGGGAGGAAGAAGGGAGGTGGCGGCAAGAGGGATGCAGCCAGGGCGGATTCCCCCCCCTCCCCTCCCCAGGAAGAATCACCTGAAAGAAGGAGGGAGGGAGGGGGCTGCATGCTGATTAGCATGAGAGCCCCCCCGGAGGGAGAGGACACCCGCCCCGGATGAAGGTGAGTGAGCAAGGGAAGGAGGGCAGGAAAAAAGGGGGGGGGGGCTGCAATAGTCATAGAATAACAATAATAAAGGGAAAAGGGAGGGAGGGGGTGGAGTGGGAGAGGGAGGGGGGCTTGCAAGGGTCATAGCATAATAATAATAATAATAATAATAATAATAATAATAATAATAATAGAGTAATAGGAAATGGAATCATCACCCACCCCCCCTCTCATTGGAAGGCCTAAAAGGGGAGGGGCACACACATATATGTATAATAGTAAGCATTGCAAGGCCTAAGGGGAGAGAAGGAGGGAGGCTGCCAATAATAATAATAATAATAATAATAATAATAATAATAATAATAATAATAATAAGTAATAGGAAATGGAATCATCACCCACCCCCCCTCTCATTGGAAGGCCTGAAAGGGGAGGGGCACATCATATATATGTATAATAGTAAGCATTGCAAGGCCTAAGGGGAGAGAAGGAGGGAGGCTGCCAATAATAATAATAATAATAATAATAATAATAATAATAATAATAATAAGAGTAATAGGAAATGGAATCATCACCCACCCCCCCTCTCATTGGAAGGCCTGAAAGGGGAGGGGCACATCATATATATGTATAATAGTAAGCATTGCAAGGCCTAAGGGGAGAGAAGGAGGGAGGCTGCCAATAATAATAATAATAATAATAATAATAATAATAATAATAATAATAATATAGTAATAGGAAATGGAATCATCACCCACCCCCCCTCTCATTGGAAGGCCTGAAAGGGGAGGGGCACATCATATATATGTATAATAGTAAGCATTGCAAGGCCTAAGGGGAGAGAAGGAGGGAGGCTGCCAATAATAATAATAATAATAATAATAATAATAATAATAATAATATAATGATAATAATATAGTAATAGGAAATGGAATCATCCCCCCCCCCATTGGAAGGCCTGAAAGGGGAGGGGCACACACATATATGTATAATAGTAAGCATTGCAAGGCCTAAGGGGAGAGAAGGAGGGAGGCTGCCAATAATAATAATAATAATAATAATAATAATAATAATAATAATAATAATAATAATATAGTAATAGGAAATGGAATCATCACCCCCCCCCCCCATTGGAAGGCCTGAAAGGGGAGGGGCACATACATATATGTATAATAGTAAGCATTGCAAGGCCTAAGGGGAGAGAAGGAGGGAGGCTGCCAATAATAATAATAATAATAATAATAATAATAATAATAATAATAATAATAATGATAATAATATAGTAATAGGAAATGGAATCATCCCCCCCCCCATTGGAAGGCCTGAAAGGGGAGGGGCACATACATATATGTATAATAGTAAGCATTGCAAGGCCTAAGGGGAGAGAAGGAGGGAGGCTGCCAATAATAATAATAATAATAATAATAATAATAATAATAATATAATGATAATAATATAGTAATAGGAAATGGAATCATCCCCCCCCCCATTGGAAGGCCTGAAAGGGGAGGGGCACACACATATATGTATAATAGTAAGCATTGCAAGGCCTAAGGGGAGAGAAGGAGGGAGGCTGCCAATAATAATAATAATAATAATAATAATAATAATAATAATAATAATAATATAATGATAATAATATAGTAATAGGAAATGGAATCATCCCCCCCCCCATTGGAAGGCCTGAAAGGGGAGGGGCACACACATATATGTATAATAGTAAGCATTGCAAGGCCTAAGGGGAGAGAAGGAGGGAGGCTGCCAATAATAATAATAATAATAATAATAATAATAATAATAATAATAATGATAATAATATAGTAATAGGAAATGGAATCATCCCCCCCCCCATTGGAAGGCCTGAAAGGGGAGGGGCACATACATATATGTATAATAGTAAGCATTGCAAGGCCTAAGGGGAGAGAAGGAGGGAGGCTGCCAATAATAATAATAATAATAATAATAATAATAATAATAATAATAATGATAATAATATAGTAATAGGAAATGGAATCATCCCCCCCCCCATTGGAAGGCCTGAAAGGGGAGGGGCACACACATATATGTATAATAGTAAGCATTGCAAGGCCTAAGGGGAGAGAAGGAGGGAGGCTGCCAATAATAATAATAATAATAATAATAATAATAATATAATGATAATAATATAGTAATAGGAAATGGAATCATCCCCCCCCCCATTGGAAGGCCTGAAAGGGGAGGGGCACACACATATATGTATAATAGTAAGCATTGCAAGGCCTAAGGGGAGAGAAGGAGGGAGGCTGCCAATAATAATAATAATAATAATAATAATAATAATAATAATAATAGAGTAATAGGAAATGGAATCATCACCCACCCCCCCCTCTCATTGGAAGGCCTGAAAGGGGAGGGGCACATCATATATATCTATCTCTATCTATCTATCTATCTATATATCTATCTATATATATATATATATGTAATAGTGACCATTGCAAGGCCTAAGGGGAGGGAAGGAGACTGCCAATAATAATAACAATATAATATAATATATAATACTAATACATGTTGGGGGGGGGCTGCAATAGTCATAGAATAACAATAATAAAGGGAAAAGGGAGGGAGGGGGTGGAGTGGGAGAGGGAGGGGGGCTTGCAAGGGTCATAGCATAATAATAATAATAATAATAATAATAATAATAATAATAATAGAGTAATAGGAAATGGAATCATCACCCACCCCCCCTCTCATTGGAAGGCCTGAAAGGGGAGGGGCACATCATATATATCTATATCTATCTATCTATCTATCTATCTATCTATCTATCTATCTATCTATCTATGTAATAGTGACCATTGCAAGGCCTAAGGGGAGGGAAGGAGACTGCCAATAATAATAACAATATAATATAATATATAATACTAATACATGTTGGGGGGGGGCTGCAATAGTCATAGAATAACAATAATAAAGGGAAAAGGGAGGGAGGGGGTGGAGTGGGAGAGGGAGGGGGCTTGCAAGGGTAATAGCATAATAATAATAATAATAATAATAATAATAATAGAGTAATAGGAAATGGAATCATCACCCACCCACCCTCTCATTGGAAGGCCTGAAAGGGGAGGGGCACATCATATATATCTATCTATCTATCTATCTATCTATCTATCTATCTATCTATCTATATATATATATGTAATAGTGACCATTGCAAGGCCTAAGGGGAGGGAAGGAGACTGCCAATAATAATAACAATATAATATAATATATAATACTAATACATGTAATAATATCAATTGGAAGGCCTAAGGGGAGGAATGGAAGGAAGGAAAAACACATCACTGGGTGCCTAGGAAGGAAGGAAAAAAGGAAGGGAGGGAGGGAGGCTGCCAATAATAATAATAATAATAATAATAATAAATGTAATAATAAGCATTGGAAGGCCTAAAAGGGAGGGCTCACATATATATGTATAACAGTAAGCATTGCAAGGCCTAAGGGGACAGAAGGAGGCTGCAAATAATAATAATGATGATAATAATATGTAGTAATAGGAAATGGAATCATAACCCCCCCCCCTCATTGGAAGGCCTTAAAGGGGAGGGGCACATCATATATATGCACGCACACACACACACATTAATATAATATAATATAATATAATATAATATAATATAATATAATAGTAAGCATTGCAAGGCCTAAGGGGACAGAAGGAGGCTGCAAATAATAATAATGATGATAATAATATGTAGTAATAGGAAATGGAATCATAACCCCCCTCCCTCATTGGAAGGCCTTAAAGGGGAGGGGCACATCATATATATGCACGCACACACACACACATTAATATAATATAATATAATATAATATAATATAATATAATAGTAAGCATTGCAAGGCCTAAGGGGACAGAAGGAGGCTGCAAATAATAATAATGATGATAATAATATGTAGTAATAGGAAATGGAATCATAACCCCCCCCCCTCATTGGAAGGCCTTAAAGGGGAGGGGCACATCATATATATGCACGCACACACACACACATTAATATAATATAATATAATATAATATAATATAATATAATATAATAGTAAGCATTGCAAGGCCTAAGGGGACAGAAGGAGGCTGCAAATAATAATAATGATGATAATAATATGTAGTAATAGGAAATGGAATCATAACCCCCCCCCTCATTGGAAGGCCTTAAAGGGGAGGGGCACATCATATATATGCACGCACACACACACACATTAATATAATATAATATAATATAATATAATATAATATAATATAATAGTAAGCATTGCAAGGCCTAAGGGGACAGAAGGAGGCTGCAAATAATAATAATGATGATAATAATATGTAGTAATAGGAAATGGAATCATAACCCCCCCCCTCATTGGAAGGCCTTAAAGGGGAGGGGCACATCATATATATGCACGCACACACACACACATTAATATAATATAATATAATATAATATAATATAATATAATATAATAGTAAGCATTGCAAGGCCTAAGGGGACAGAAGGAGGCTGCAAATAATAATAATGATGATAATAATATGTAGTAATAGGAAATGGAATCATAACCCCCCCCCCTCATTGGAAGGCCTTAAAGGGGAGGGGCACATCATATATATGCACGCACACACACACACATTAATATAATATAATATAATATAATATAATATAATATAATATAATAGTAAGCATTGCAAGGCCTAAGGGGACAGAAGGAGGCTGCAAATAATAATAATGATGATAATAATATGTAGTAATAGGAAATGGAATCATACCCCCCTCCCTCATTGGAAGGCCTTAAAGGGGAGGGGCACATCATATATATGCACGCACACACACACACATTAATATAATATAATATAATATAATATAATAGTAAGCATTGCAAGGCCTAAGGGGACAGAAGGAGGCTGCAAATAATAATAATGATGATAATAATATGTAGTAATAGGAAATGGAATCATAACCCCCCCCCCTCATTGGAAGGCCTTAAAGGGGAGGGGC